AATTCTTCGTCGCCGTTGCTACCGCCACCTACCGGCTGGAAGCCCCCGTTACGTGTCGCGGCAAGATGCTGATCTTCTAGTCGACCATACTTCTTCGGTGCAGCCATGATCAACGCGATCTTGCGACGTCGAGCAAGTTCGACCGTTTCAATCAGCTGCTTGGCCAGAAAGCGATCGGCCGGTGGATAGGCAAGCTTGGTGTCTTCGTCGACCAATTCATAGCCGAACTCGTCGTCCCAGCCATTAAGCGCTTCTCGCGCCGCGGCATACGACTCTGCACCTCCAGGACGAACCACCAGCAACGGGTAAGGATTTCCTTGGCCTGGAACGCCTTGCGATTGACGGTATTCGCGAATGGTGCGTAGTGATGCTGCAAGTGGGTTGCCGGGGCCGAGAGGCTCTTGGAAATCATTTCCTGAAAGGCCGATACCTTCCGGCTGAATGATAACGCGGTCGGCCGTGCATTCAATGTAAATTGGCTGACGCCGCGTGCCACTTTGGCCATCGTAAGGAACAAGCGCGTAGGCGGGCTTGCGTCCTTCGATTTCTTTGCGAACTTGCTCGAGTTCCGCTTGTGCTTGGGCAATCTCTGCGTCGAGGCGTTTCTTCTGCGTCTCGAAGTCGTCGGCGCTGCCGGTGACGTTGTCGGTTTCTCCTTCAAGCACCGCAATGTCTGCGCGAAGCTTGCGAATTTTGTCAGTCAAACGGCGGCTATGGTCTTCCAGGCCAGCCAATTGCAAACGAGCATCCTCCAACTGCTTGAGACGTTTCTCTCGCAGCTGTTTGAGCTCTTCCATCTGCTCGGTGTAGTCTTGCTGCGGCGGTGGTTCTGGTGCCGGAGCAACAGGTTCCACTTCGGCAGGTGCCGGGACCGAGAGAGGTGGCAGGTCGACCGCAACCGCTTCCGTACGTGCTTGAAGAACCATCACCACAAACAGCACGATTAGTGCGCCCATGGTACAGATCAACACGGCGAGGAAGGGGAACAGCGAGATCTCGACCGTATGTCGTGCTGAACGACGTCGACTCACGCGGCTTGACCTTTGTCCTTGCGATCGAGTTGGACCGAAGCGTGGCCGCTTCCAGTCATGCGGGAATTAAGCAGGTGAATCGTCGCGGCGAGGCTTTGAACTGTTTCTTCAAAGTGCTGCTTGCCTGCCAACG